CTTTTCTATTTTAAAATTTGAAGGTTTTAAAATCGAAACAATTATTGTATACATTTGTTTTCGCTTTCTAATGTAGCCATAGCAAAGTACCAAAAATGTTGGCTTAAAGCAACTATTTATTCTCTTACTTCTGAAGACTAGAAGTTTGGAATTCTGGTGTTGGCAGGGTCATGCTTTCTTTGAAGTGCCCTAGGGAGAATCTTTTTCAGGCCTTTTTGTTATCTTCTCTGCTCTTGCTGGCAATACTTGGCATGCCAATCTCCACCTCTGTAGTCACTTGGAGTTCTCCCTGTGTGTCTGTCTCTGTGTCTCCTCTCTGTAGACACCAGACATGTTGTATGAGGAGTGCAAAAAAGAAATATTTTTTTTTCTGCCCCAGTTGTATATACTCCTATAATAGTGACTTGAACTATTGATTAAATATGACCACTTTGATCAAATATGACCTCATTTTAACTTGATTGCATCTGCAAAGACCGTATTTTCACATTAGGTCACATTCACTGGTATTGAAGGTTAGCACTTTCAAATACCTTGTTTGGAGATGCAATGCAACCCATAATGGTATTCAACAGTTGAAGCAAAACAGCCTGGAACAGATATTGGAAAAGGGACCACAGCAATATTAGCACCTGTGATATTTTATGAGTTTTTTTCAACTAGGGTTCTGACTTTAGGTCATCTGCTTGCATATTAGGTAATCATAGCCTCAGACTTCGTGATTTAAGAAAGTTGTAATTTCTTTTTGGAGCATTTTCCCATTGACTTATTATTTCGGAAGTCTTTCTAATGAATCTTCTCAGATCAGAAAATTTCGGAAGTCTTTCTAATGAATCTTCTCAGATCAAAAACCATAAACAGAGACTAGGTTGTTTGTTTGTTTTATATGCTGATGATTAGATAGTTACAAATTATATAACATTGCTAGTGGTATGATAGAACACATCTGTTTGTTTTTGAATCTTAAAATCTCTTATGATCAAATTTATTTGTATGTTTATATTGATTATACTGTAACAGATTGTGAAAACATAAAATCGTCATAATAACAAAATAGTAAGGTTAAAAGCTAAGCACTTGAAGTGCACTGCCTCATTTATTCCTTAGAGTGACTCAATAAAATAAGGACTGTTGTTAGCCTACTCTCTACATATGCCCAAACTGAGACTTGTGGACATGTTTATCTTGTCCAAGAGTTTGCGGTAATTGATGAAGCAGGGTTTGGACCTGGCAGTTTGATCCTACAGGTGAGCTCTCATCTTCTGTGCTATACATGTTTTGTTTTTTTTTTCTATCCAAGGCTCATGACATTGCTCATCGCTATGATTTCTTAAAATTTAACTTTTTATTTTGAGATGTTTGGGGATTCACACACAAGTGAGAAAAATAATACAGAGAGATTCCTATTCCTTATATCCTGTACCCGGTTTTCCCCTGTGCTACCATCTTGCAAAACTGATATACTGCATCACAACCAGTATATTGACATTGATACTGTCAAGATACAGAATATTTCCATCACCTCAAAAATCCCTCTTGTTGCACTTTGTTAGCCACATCTACCTCCTTCCACCATGCCCCTCCCTTCTTTCCTGGCAACCACTAATCTGATATCCATTTCTATAATTTTGTCATTTCAAGAGTGGAACATCTAACCAATGAAGTTATACAGCATGTAGTCTTTGGGGACTGGTGTTTTTTCATTCAGCATAATTCTCTGGAGATTCACCCAGGTTGTTGCATGTATCAATAGACCACTTATCTTGCTACTGGGTAGTGTTCCACAGTACAGGTAGTTTAATATTCACCTACTGAAGCATGTTTGGTTTATTTCCACTGTGGGGCTATTCTGAATAAGGCTGCTATAAACATTCATGTACAGGTGTTTGTGTGAAAATAAGTTTCTATTTTTTCTTGCATAAATCCCTTACATTGCAATTGCTGTATTGCATGCTAGTTGTGTTTCATTTTATAAATGAAACTGCAAAACTTTTTCAGAGCAGTCTGTAGATGGAAATATGTTTTTTATGCCTTATTTTTTAACCTTTGTATTTACAAGAGTTTACATTTGAAATTACTACTTGCTACAAATTATCCTAAAGATTCAATAGCAAATGCAATTTCTAATGTTTTTTGAAACATGTATTTTTTAAGCCTATTTTTTTTTCTGAAGTGAGTCATTTAACTGGCAGATAAGCCTATTGGTCTGCTCAGCTTTTACAACATAGCCAAATTTTATTTTTCTTTACCCATTAATTCTACTATTTATGATAATTTACTTCCTAGGAGTTTTTAATACTTACTAATAAAACCGTGCCTTATTTTTATATATCTAAAAGCACATTTAATTTGTCTTCAATTAAAGCCCTCCAGATGCTCAGTGATTGAGCTATGGAGAGTGCTTTTCAATATATTTAGCAGCATCCCTGGTCTCTCTAGCTACTAGATGCCAGTAGCCCTCTTTGCAAATTGTTACACTTAATAATGTCTTCAGTGGCTGGGCAACTTAAAAATGTCTCCAGTGGCCAGGCGCAGTGACTCATGACTATAATACAGAACTTTGGGAGGCCGAGGCAGGAGGACTACTTGAGCCCAGGAGTTTGAGACTAGCCTGGGCAACATAGCGAGACTGTCTCTACAGAAACAAATTTTTTTTTTTTTAAAAAAAAGTTCTTCAGTTATTGTCAACTGGGGGACAAATCTTCCCTGTTGAGAATTACTGAACTTAAATGATGTGTGATGGGAAAAAGATGACACCTTATACAATGATTGAGACATTAATGAAAGTTTTCGCATGTGTCCCTAGTACATGTCAATAGATTAAATTAATTTTAACTAGGTAATAAGGGAAACATTTTATTTCTCCATACCATAGTTTTCACACTAGCAGACAAGCTAGGTGTTTCTTTTTTTTTTTTTTTTTTTTGCCCTTGGAGTAAAGCACATTTCTGAAAAGCCCACCATAATACTAAGGGTGGGGAGACTGCCTTCCCAGAAATTCAGATACTGCATTGGAGCACAGGATCCAAGGACACCTCCAGTTGCCTGGATTGAATCAATTTATGACTCATGCTGAGGGCTTTCCAGGAGACACACAAGAACAAGTTCTAATTTTGATTTTCATATCAGACTTAATCTTTAGGCTTGCTATATTATTAGCTTTCCCTGTAAAAATCCTGAGCCCAGGGATGGGGACAAGGTTGTCTCCACTAAATGGTAAAGTGAAGCACCCTCTGTCTTCCATGCTTTTCAGATCAGTCCTAGACGCTGGATCTTGTCTGATCCGTGTTCCCCAACAAAACGATGGCTCTGTTGTCCATCCTTCACAATTTCTCTGTATGATTAACTTGTTACTCATTACATATTTTGAACTAAGGAGTTAATAAATGGCAATCGCTGTCTGGGATACCCTCTCAAATCATATTTGAATTTTGGCAGGCCTGAGACTGAAAAGGCTGAGTTAAGTGGAAAATTAAAAATTAGGACTGGGCCATTGACAAAGATGTTTTTGATCAAATCAGCTTTTTAATGCTTGTAGCACATAATAGGGTTGTACTTTGAATCCACACAATGGAGATCATGATTTCAAAAGACTGGAAAGTCGCTTTTCTGATTGAGATCAAGCCCAGTTCAGTATCTCACACAGTGAAGTAGTGAGTGGCTGATTGAAGGAAGATTTTGTGGACTTTGTGAGGGGTGGAATGTGACCTTGGATAGACTGATTTGGATTCCTAAGAGAAATTCCTGAATGATCTTTGATGTCTTAAATTTCTTCATCACCCATGTGTTGTCAAGTCACCAAATCTCAGCGTTTCTTCTTTAAACTGTCTTGGGAATACTCTGACTACTTCTTCATTGGGTGCTTTGAACAATAAGACTTTCCTAGCTGTTTGTCCCCTCTTTTTTTGCCAAACTGATTGTTTTAAACACAAGTTTTATTAAATCACAAAAATCTCCTGTGTCCTTCCATGCCTGACCTTATCTCGTCTATTCACCGTTATCTCTGACTCCTAGTAAAAGGAACCTGTTTTCCAGCATGCCAAGTTTTTTTTTTTTTTCCTGGTTCCTGAATGTACAAGCACATATCTGTTTGGTGCTTTTGCTTGTGTTTTTGCCCTTGTATGGGATGAAATTTTTCTTCTTGCTACCCGATCAGGTTCTTTCTCATTGCCCCAGGTTCAGCTGAAGCCCACATCCTGCATGGGGCGATCCATGATTCCCTCACTCCATGTTGCTCCCTACTTGATTTTCTTCTTCAAGCACTAAAGATAGGCCTTACTCATTTTTACCCTTAGCAATATATGGCTTTGTTCAAAGTGATAACTGATAACTTGGTGTATGCAATTGGCCTCTTCAACTAATTAAGAAATTCCTGGAAAACAGGTGTTTTTTGCTTTCTACATTTCATCTAGCATATTATTTATAACAAGTACTCATTAAAAACTTACATTGATGACTGGCTATGCATTGATTGTGTTCTATTCTATGTTAAAACTCAAGCCAAAAAGGCTTATGGAAACTGATACCGGCCCTTGCTTTTCTAGACTCTGATGTGCCCATGTGCTCTTTGAGTTATGTTTTCTGGCTTTGGCCACCACTCCTACCTTGGGAAGGTGAATCTCCTCTTTCTCTAATTTACTTTCCAAATAAACTATATTTTCTAATCTTAAAAAAAAAAGAAACTGATATCACCATATGTAGTTCCAGATTAAAGTGAATAAAGACTTCCCGGATGTCAGAAAAGGAAGGTGCATTTTCTTAGGTGAGAAACTGAAAGTAGACACAGCTTGGAAAAGGACAAACAGCAGTCTGTAAAGGAAATCTGTTTAGCTTATTTGTGATAGATATGTGAATTATGGTGTCATTTTGGATATGAGGTATGTGTCATTTTGAGCTGCTGCTAATAGAAATGGACAAATGTAAAAATAATAGTTGACTTGTATCTTTAAACATTTGATTATAGAATTCTGACTTACCTTGATTTCCTTCTTTTCAAACCCCAGATACTTCTCGCCACTGCATAAATGGACATTTGAAAGTTCCTTAGTCAAATACTTGCAAGCATGGAGACCTCCTCAATGCTTTCCTCATTGAACGATGAGTGTAAATCTGACAACTACATTGAGCCTCACTACAAGGAATGGTATCGAGTAGCCATTGATACTCTGATTGAACATGGGTTGGAAGCGTACCAAGAATTTCTTGCCAAGGAACGAGTTTCAGACTTTCTCTCTGAGGATGAAATTAATTATATTTTGAAAAATGTCCAGAAAGTTGCCCAAAATACAGCACATGGCACGGATAATTCCTGTGATGATACCTCATCTTCAGGGACTTACTGGCCAATTGAGTCTGATGTGGAGGCCCCAAATCTTGACTTAGGCTGGCCATATGTGATGCCTGGACTCTTAGGGAGTACCCATATTGACCTCCTGTTTCATCCTCCAAGAGCACACCTGCTTACAATAAAGGAAACTATTCGGAAGATGATAAAAGAAGCAAGAAAGGTAATAACATTTCTATTTTGAATTGAAACATTTGAAACATGGAAAAGTACAGAGAGTGGTTTAACAGATATGTGTGCTCATTCAAGAATCTCTATATGTACGGACCTTGTCTATTTTTGTCAGGAAATAATGCCTAGGGATACATAGGGAAGTTGTACTTTCCATATCTTGCATATATGTGAGAGAGTGGCATTAAATCTCTGCTAAAGTTAGAGATTTCCTTCTCTTCATGGTTCTTTGTACTCAACAGACCCTCTGCTCTAGAAGACTAAGGTATGTGGACTGGGAGTAAAGTGATCTGACACTTTCATAAATTTAAAGCACCTACATTTTTCTTACTCTATGAAAAGAAATATGTTTATGAATCTGGTGATGTTTTCTTTGTTATTCACAGGACTGGTACTGATTCTTGCTCTGAATATGTTTCTTACTATTAAATAAGCCATAAGTTGACTTAACTATTTCCTGAGTTGTGTGAAAGCGGTATAAAACCAGCATGATGATGTAAAATTCTAAAGTAAGGTCATTAGGTGTTTAACATTTTGAGTCCTTGCCACAGAATAACAACTCCTAGTAGAGCTATCAAAAATGTAAACGTGCATTCTCTTTGACTCAAGCAGTTCCATTCTAAGAGTTTTCTTCTTAATCTTGTCAGTTGTGAACTTTATAATTATAAAATTGGTATAGTGGGGAAGGAAAAAGCAGAAACTCATTGGTATAATTTGAGGAAAGTATTATATTCAGGGTTGCTTAAGGTAAGTGCTCTTTGTCCAATATTTATATTGTTTTATATATCTAATAAGTCTTACTTTAAAGCTCTGATTTAACTGTAGGCTTTAAAAAAAATCAATCAATAAATATTATTGAGAATTTTCTATGTACTCAGCTCCATGGTAGGCACTTTGGAGAATACAACAAAATTCCTCAAGCTTAACCTAAAATTTTAAAATATATGGACACAAATTATGATTTTTAAACTATAAAGTATCTATTTTTAAGTACGGAGACTATATGATATAGAAATTTAGATCTAAAAGGGTCCTGAGGTGGCACACATACATGCCATTACTTTCTTCTGTGTTAACAAGACATAGAAATGGTTGAAAAAGCATGCTTTTGTGAAGTACAAAAATATAAGACCCTTGACATCTGTGATGACATGGTAGTTTGCAAGACAGGCAACTAAAAGCCTAGCAATCATGTTAGGGAGACACAATGTTCTGAGGCTAATGTCAAATGTAGGCTTTACAAAAGTGAGGTGATTTTTTCCTCAAACCTTTTGAGCTCAAACAACCTGCTTTTTTAAATGTGTTAATTCCCTTAGCAGTATTATATTAAAGAAAATACTAATGTATTTCAACCATTAAAAATTAGCTATAAAATCAGGCACACTTTTAATCGATAAAAGTAACCAGACTTTTATTTAATGAATTGAACTGCCAGTTCAGTTTTCTGAATTGAACCATGAATAATTTTTAAGTTATACTGTCTTGTGTTCTGTGAACAAATTATATAACTGTATTTTGTAGAATAATAGAACAAACTTAAGAATATGTATGAGTCCTTGTAATGGCAAAATAATAAATACCAAATACTTTCATTTGCTAATTTTTTTGGAGACACAATATGAACCACGATGTTAATGAAAAATTGAAAAAAAATCGGTGAAGATTGAAATGATTATTGCAGTAACTTATTAGTTATGCATTCATCAGCCTACGCCATAGCTACTTTCCTTTGGGGCACTGCATTTCTGTGATACAAAATGTTAATTCAGGAGCTATCATAAATTCTGGGGCTAGCACTCACTGGAAACTGAACATCAGTCATGACCTTTTGATGTATATTTCTTTCTAATGTGACAGCCATATATTTAATGAGCCTCTAAAAAGTAATATCTTCTACCTGCTCACTGTTGCTGGGAACTCCCACTTGAATTAGCAAGCTGAGGAAATTGAAGTCCTTACTGTAAAACAGTAATGTAATGTTGTGCTTCTCTTCCATAAAATCATCATGGCAAAAAATAAGTAGAATTTTACCTTTATTTGACTTGTTTACACGTATTTAAGATCAATTCAAAGAAAGGGAATTATTTGATATTGTATGTTAAGTATATTGCTATAGAGTATAAATCATAACCAATAACTTAGTTGTTGTTTAAAGCACTGAGGAATGTACTAGTTTTTAACCCAGATACAATTAGTATCGATGTTAAATTGTCTACGTGTGCATGGAGTGTATATTTCTCAAGTGTTCTGGAAGATATTTCATATGTCACTGTGTCTATTTTTGAAGGATCAGAAACTCCAGAAAAAAATGTTATTGACCCCATTTTAAAAAAATTAAGATTATTATTTAGCTCATAACTGGATGAGGTCTTGTGAAAATTCTCAAAATAAGAGCAAATACTAATACTATGAAAAAAAGTTTGTCAGAACACATTGTCTTGTTAAAGATTAAATGTGGTTTTTATGACTATCATTTACTCAGGCGATGAGTCATGTTCTTATTATTTTTCAGAATCAATGGGAACCTAATAGCAGGATAAACTTTTCTGTATTTGAACCTTTTCAAGAATATGAATTGTCTTCATTGGTAACTCAATGAATGGTTCTGGCATTATAAAGGAAATGATATTTTTTCATAAAATATTTGAATAATATATATTCTAATGAATGCAGTCTCTTGCCTCCGAATATATCAGGGAGAGTCTTTGGAAATCAGCGTTGCAAAACTCTGTGGAGACATGAGGCCAAACAAGTAGGGCTAGAAACCAGAAAAGCAGAACCCAGGAAGATACTTCAGATAAGAATCTAAATCTACTTTCACTGTTCTGTTTGCAATTGAGATAAAGTACTTATGAAAATAAATGCCATTTTTTGGAAAAATCTTAAATTAATGAAAAGAATATAAAAAGAGTCTGCTTAGAGGCCCAAACATTTGAAGTCTAATAATAAGCATCAAGTTAACCTTCCAGTCCCCTGTGAAAGGAATTGAAAATGATACTGTATCTCTCTCATTTGTCTTTACAGGAAATATTTGAAATATCTTGTTTTTGAATTTTGCCAATTTATATGCTCTTGTTTTTAGCTTAAGTTATACAGTCTCTGGGTCATTTTGCTTTTATAAGCAGATTGTGATCTTCATAATATCTAAAAAATCTATAGATTTTAAAATGTATTCATTTTATTTTTGTCAATTGTTACTTAGAATTTGTTGAGAGGATTATTTATTTTTTCTTCGTTTTGTATGTTTGCTTATTTTGTTGATTTGAGAATTTTCCTTTGGGAAAAGTCCAGTTTTATATAGTATTTTACTTGTATCCTAAAGGGATATATTTCAATTTACTGGTTCTGTTTTTAACCCCTTTCTGTGTTTTACTATGTGGTTGACATAATTACATTTGGATCAACTTTGTGAAGTCTGATAGTGTCTAGCAAGACTTTTCCCAGGTAATTATCTCTCAAGAAGTGTTCCCAAGATGATATATGCGTATTTTCCTAATTACTGTGAACTCCTCTTATAAAAACATCCCCTCTCATTACTTAAAAAGTCATCTTTCATTAAAGTAATTTATTTTCCTAGCTACTCAGTGGTACATAATTTCCTAAGTTATAAATTCTGATAGTTTTGAATATCTAAGTGTTTAACTGAAATGTTATTTCATCTGTTTCCTAATTCTATAGCAGCTTCTTTTGTGAGATGTGAATCTTAACTCTTGGTGAAATATGGGATTAAGAAGATACATAAACAAAGCCTAGTGAGAATTAGGGCAGAGTGATTTTTGATGTGCTCTGTACCACTGAGTTCAGGGCTTGGTTGGTTCCTCCCTGAGTCACTATTTCTGGGTGTGTCTGTTGTGGCCCTGGTAGTTTTCAATAATATCGAGAAATATTAACCATCAGTTGGCCCCAGATGCAAAGGGGAAGATGAAAAAGTGATGGGAACTCTTCCTGGGAGTCAGTTGATAAATAAGTATATTACTAGGCTAGAGGCTTAGTCACTAGAACCTTAACTAGTTGTCGCATTAAACAAATCATTGAACCTCCTCAGGTATCTTTATTTAGGGACAGATGTGAAACAAAGGCCTTTCAGTATTTTTCAAATCTAGTATCCCTATCCAAATCTCTAATATTGCTTACTGACATAAAATTATTTTAATATATTATACGCCTTGCTGAATTAGTTCATAATAGGAAATGGTTTTTTTATTGTGTTTTGGTATACAATTTCCATCTATAACCATGTCCTGTCCGGCTAAGTGATATTTACAAGTTTATCTGTGCCTTCATTAGCCTAGAATTCTCTCTGTCCTAATGTTCCCAGTTTTATTAAGAATTTCCCCTCTGTCCTATTCCTGTTTCATCTCTCACTGTGAAGCCCTTCATTCTTTGAATTGGAGTCAAAATTACTTTCTTCCAGGAAATATATTTTGTTTGGTCAGATTTAATAACATTACTATCCTGTGACATTAAGTCAAACATCTCTTCTCTGAATAAAATTCATTATGTGTTAATATATATTTATGCTTGAGTATGTATGTTTAAGAGAGGGGATTGAGAGGAAAAATTAAAAGGGAGGGAAGGAGAGATGGAGCGAGAGAGGAAGAGAAAGAGGAAAGTGAGAGAAAGGTAGAGTAGGGAAAGTGGGGGAGAGACAGGAGAGCAGGGAGGG